GAAAATTAAGTGAATATCTCATCACTGTTCAGCCAGAGTACATGAAACAAATATATTGGAATGGTAAAAAAATATCAGCATGGTGTGTCAGTTTTATTAAGAAACAACAATAATACATTACACACTAGTCGACAGGAAGGCTTCAATCAAGTAATTAAAAAATCTGAAAATACTGTCAATTGATGAATGTCTTTTCAGATTAGTACATACAGTATATCAGTATGGTATGTTATTGATAAAGCAGCAAATGCCAATGTTTGATAACATTTTTGATTTTTAGCAAACCTGGTTTTGCATTATTGTAACTACTGTATTTATTCCTCAATAGGAGCAAATGACTGGATCAGATTTTTTGATGCAAACAATTCCATCTGTGTGGACATGATGAAATGGACATGTCCAATCCATGGTTAGCAGAAGGTGGCAATGCTCAGAGCTCTGCAGCAAGTGATTGAATCCAAAATATTTCCAAAGAATTAAATCAAAATGATTTATCTAGTGATTTTTTTCTGAAGATATACTGAAATGCCACACACAGTTTTTGTTTTTTACGCATCTGGTTTATATTGCAGCATCTGGTTTATATTGCATGCCAAATTCATAAATAACTACACAATGTCAACATAAGATGTTGAAACAATAAATTCATTGACATATTTAAAAGACTAAAGGCAATATTTAATCCAGTAACACCTCCCCACCTCCCCCTTTCCCCCAGTTTTTAAACATTCAAAACTGTCTCAAACAGTTCCCGAGTTTTTTATCGCACCCGCATTTCGTGTCTGAGAAAAATCAGTTGACTGTGCAACAACAAAATACTTTTCCACTGACGCTTGAAATTAAAGAGGTAAAAATGTACTTAAACATTATGACGAATTATTGTTTGCTGTTTGCAATCAGTGCATGCTTGGCCTAGCAATAAATGATTCATTGGCTTTAATCCAAATACCAACATAAATGCCCACGCAGGGATAGGAAAAGTACATGGAAAATTAAAATGATGACATAACGGCCGGTTCATAATTATTATTATAATTCAATTTTTATAATAATTATAATTTTATAATAATAATATAATAATAAAAATGATTAATATAAGTATTATTATTATTATTATTATAAAAACAAAGGACAACTACAAATATAACAACAATTGATAGTATTATTAATAAATCATTTCATTTATAATAATATTAAGTGGGACTTATTATTTTTATATGAATGTAAAACACCCTTTGGCTAATAATTCATAGTTACAGTAGATTAATTTAAAAAATTGCATAAATTTGGCAATAAATGCCAAATTAATGTTAATGTTTTAAGCACATCCTTTCAATTAAATCAAACCCGAAAACTGAACACATGAACAACTATAAGGTAGTCACGTTCACATGTGTCCATCGATGAATTATTAACTGTGAAAAAACCAACCACAATGTTTGTTTAAATTTTTATACAAAGTGCTTCATAACAGTTTAAACTTCTTCCAATTTATTTTACTGTGTATTAGAAATTGATTTCAGTGTTCTCCCAACTGAAAAATTTTTACTGGTAAATTTGTCCATAAAAAATTGCAATGCGCACAATGTGAGGTACGTTACCCCTTTTTAGTTGGGTTAAATGACTTGAAGACACAACAACACATATTCATAGTACCTGGACTACCTAAGCCTAATCAATAGTGTTATTTATTTTACAAACTCAAAATTTTTACTGGTTGGTTGGTTATTTTTACCGGTAAAATTGACGGCTAAAACGGCTTCGGGAGAACACTGGATTTTACTATGTACAGGATTTATAAATTATATAAACTTTTAATTTTCTTTTTATGAATCAAAGATAACCCTTTCAACAGTATGCAATAGTTATTGCAGTTTTAAACAATCAACTTTTAAAAAATATAATAAAACATCACTTTTTAGTCTTTGGTCTTTATGTAATAATATTTTAGTATTTTACTTTTCTTTGATTTTAATTTTGATTAACATCTCAGTATGTATTTAAATATGTATGTTTTTTTTAATTTAAGTTTCTTCATTTCATTTTTATCTTCTTGCAAAAATTACGTTGTGAAAAACACCAATATGGTGATACAAGTTTTCTCCGTTTTAAAATAAAGTTGTTATTATTATTATTATTATTATTATTATTATTATTATTATTATTATGACAGTTATGTTTTATGCAAAAAAACAATGCAGTTATTTCATGTACAGTTACCAACAAAAAATCAGTAATCATTTTATAATCTAACAATGCTGCTGATATCTTAAATTTTAGAAATGATCTCCAAAACTATAATGAGCAAAATTGTAGTCTGTGAATACAATCCTCTACTCTTTTTAAACAAATATATACTGTGTTTTTGACATGCATGAGCCATACATATTGCACACAGTACCTGCAGCTTAATTCTTGTCTGAAAGACGGTGCACGTTTTTATACTTCAATCAAATTCCACTCTCCAGTCCAACACAACAGAGCACATGGAACGTTTAACAATCAAAAATTTCCTTGAACACTATTCAAGAATTTTTTCCCCAGAAAATATTGGCTCCTTCAGTTGCAAATTTGCAACAGTGCCCTCTATCTAAACACTAACTATTCATTTTCAGCACCCAGGACTCACCTTTGTCTAACTTTAGTTTTTTCTGTGGTGAAGCTTCTCCATTACCTGTAGAGAAAATGGAAATTGAAAATTTTAACATTATGAGTACAATTGGGGTACAAAACCGGGGGCGCGCGTATGCCATTTTCGTGACTTCTGAAGAGGAAATGGAGGAAAAAAGAAAAAAAAAGACTGAAAAAGGAAAGAAAAAAAAAAAAGTGGAATTGGGGAAGAAAAGGGTTACGAAATGATGATTATGATTATTAATGCCTGACTCTGGGTGTTTTCTTTAGTGTTTTGTTTAACATTATTATTTTTTTGTTGTTGTTTATTATTATTGTTATTATGACTGTTATTATCATTATTAATAATATTATTATTATTATTATTTATTTATTTTTTTCTTTTTTTCCAGGACCACAATGAAGAACATTTCTTTAAAATGATTGTGTCATCCTGGCTAAAGATATTAGTAAATAAATAAATAAATAAACAACACAGGCTGAAGGATTTTATTATTTACAGGATTTATAAATTATCTGAATGGATTTTACTTATATTTTATGAATCATAGATAATAATTTGAAGTAATTAAATTGTATATTTTGATAATTTATATAATATTAAATTTTTAAGACCACCTCCCATAAGTTGGAAGGGAATAAATAAAAAAAATAAAAAATGTTTAGCGATCAGGTTAGTTGAGTTTTCTTTTAAAGTACAATAGCACAGATTGCAAGTCTGGTGATTGTTTAACAAATTGATGTTTAATAAGGCAAAATGATACTGACAGTGATGGACCACAACGGAAATAAATTTTTGGTATTTTATTGTTCTTTTATCCATTCAGAATAAAGAAAAAAAAATTTAGTCTTTGTAAGATAAACTATTAAAACAGTCATACAATATCTGAAACAATCATTCCTACTGTAACTTCAAGCAAAGAGTATAGAATATTAGCAAGAGATCCAGCCGCAGGGGTTTCTTTGAAACGGAATCCTATCTCGACAAGTACTACCACAATATACAAGGCTGCTCTTTGAAAGAACCTAAAGTCGTTCATATGAGATGCATGCTCAAATATTGAAATTCTGCTCGAAATCTAATAGGTAGCCCCCGAGCTTGCGGCTGTATTTCTTTTCCATTTCATTGTGTGCATGCAAAATCAGAGAAGTCAGACCTCCCTGCTATGATATATTCTTCACTTCAAACTGACTCTGTATATCACTATTGGGTGACTGAGCTATTCCGTCATATCCTGAATGACGAATGTCATCTGCTTCATGATACAGTATGCTTCTTGGCTCCATTAACCCTGGGAGTGGTCGTATGAGAGTAGCGATTGCAAACACAAATAGATATCATTTATCGCTAAGGGTATAAAATACTTAATGAAAATCATAAGAGATAGATAATAATAAATATTATATATAAAAATAAAAAAATAAAATAATAATAATAATAGATAATAATTGTAATAATGATGAAAATAATAGTGATTATTATCATTATTATCATTATTAAAAATAATAATAATAATAATAATTATGATTTTCTTCTTGAGTAGTTTCTCTTGTTTAAAATGTGTAATAACCCTTTTTTGTTCTCTTATTGTAGGTCTTCTATAATTTTAAATTTGTTGTGCTTTTTGATGGAATTTTGATGCCGATTCCTTTTTTCCTTGACCAATTTTAATTTAATTTTTTTGGAATTGTACTTTACTTGTTTATTTTAATTGAAGACAATAAATTTTATTTTATCTTGTATCTTGTTTTGATATTAATAGTGAGTTTCAGACCTGAGACAACAAGTAATTTCTGGGAGAGTTTGATGTCATCTATTCATATTTACCATATTGCATGTGTCATAGAAAGTAATTTTAAAATTAAACCTTCTTCTTTATTAAAAAAAATTTCTCCCTCCACCTAAAGACTACTTTTGGGACCGGGGTTTTCCTGGTCTTTAGCAGATTTGGATAAGTGTGTACAGTTAAACTTGCCTAA